TCTAAAACCTCCTCCAAGGCCTAGGAAAATAAATGTTGTGTTTCCTGTTTCCCGACCGACCCTAAAAAAAACCGCCGACCCTAGCCTTATTTTTGTGTGGACCCCTACGCTGCATATTGCTGAACCAAAACATTTGCACGACGCTACCGAGAGAATCGCTGTCATTGGTGGAACATCGGGCGCCCCGCTAGCGTTTTGAAGCCGTGTAAACAACGCTTATTGTCTGATTTGTTTGTAAAACAAAGCCCTCGACCCCGAAAATAAGTTTAACAAAAAAGCCGATACGTTTACGAAACCGTAGAAAATTCGCTATCGACGTAAAGCACATGGTGGCCGCAAGTCCTGAATCTCAAAATCGGCAACGCGGCAGAAAAATGCCTGGTCCATTTTAGCGATTTTTACCATAAAAATAACGTATGTGGTTTATTTTCCCTCTGGTATTAGTTTTTAGGTCCCGAAACCCTTTAAAAAGTAGAAATTTGCCGGCAAATCGGACGGCCGAGGTGGGGAGGGCGCCTGCATTTAGAGCTGCGTGACCCGTAAAGTCAAAGGTCATAGGGCACGCGTATTGCGCAATCATCGCGCCGATTTAGCTAATTTTAGGGCGTTTAAAATTGACACAATCACATTATCGATTTTTAGGAAAACATTGGGATAGAAACCAATCAAAATTTTGCGCTGAATAATATTTTTTTCTTCAGATTTTTTTTCTTCGGAAGTTTTCTTCGTCAGAAGTTTTTTCCTCAAAAGTTTTTTTTTCTTCAAAAGTTTTTCTTCTTCGAAAGTTTTTTTCTTCAAAATTTTTTTTTCTTCAGGCGTTTTTTCCTTCAGAAGTTTTTCTTCTTCTGAATCCACTAACTTTGACCAGACTAGACAATGTACCATACCAACCAATTATTATGTTGAAATATTTGTACTTAATTGGGCTTGATTTTCTATCTCTAAGTTAGACAGATTTTCAACTCAAGTTGCAGGAGAAGGCTACAAACTGCATTTCAGAATGGTACGTATTAAAATGCAACAGCTTCTCCTGCGCGCGGCGTAGGGCGCAAAGTTGGAGACCCCTGAAATATAATATTGATTTTTCAACTTGTTCTACTTAAATAAACACAGCAATCAGCAAAGTCTAAAAAAAATAAAAATAAAAAATAAAATAAGATAATCCCTACCTACCGACCCTAATTTTTTCAGGACCGAAACAGGAAACACAACATTTTTTTTCCTTGGCCCAAGCTGAAGTTGGGGATAGTTGTCATACATATTCCTACTTTCCCCGCGCTGTCTAGACTGAAGATATCCATATTTACATGTGCTTTCAACCTCATTATAATGACGGTAGAAGCACGCAATACTACCCAAAAAAAGAGAAAAAAAAACACGCTCTCCAGGGCTGACTCCAATCAAACTTCACGTTATTCTGATGTATGTAGTGAGTCATCTGTGCACCAAAACGGCCAAGCTGCACTTCACGGGTACGTTGTTTATGCCCACGGTCTAATTCTCAGAATAGTTTATTTGTTCAGTAAACACAAAGAACCAAACCAAATGCAACCGAAACTGGCGTGTGCACGCACTAAAAATATCACACATATCCACAAACATATCTCGGCCACATTGTCCAGCAGGACAAAGAGTAACAAAAGCTACTTTCCAAGCGTTACCGCCCGGCCGCCGTTGGCGAGAATTTCGTTTTTTCTACCGAAAAATTCGTTTACCACGCCACGAATTATTCCTTGATCTGAACGCCGAAAGTGACCTTTACGAAAAGAACGACCATCAGCAGTAACAACTACAAACCTAAACACACTCTGAAACAGCTATTCTACGCCACAACTGCATGTTTTCGAGGAAAAATTCTCAGACAAGCGACCGCCGATCCTTACCTCACAATGGCCGCCCTACACTGACGTTACGATCTGCGGGCGACCGCAGGATCCAAATAATATCCATCCGCTCCGACATCTGGAGGGTCATATTATGACTAATAAAGTGCAAAAATAGAATCTACCGCACCAAGGTGAAGATTTTTCATACTAGTATGTGTTAACTGTCCAATTAACAATATATTTGGCATATTTCATACAACAATCGTGTCCTGTTTGTCTCGCACTACTTTATGGCGGCGAATGGATACGATCTGTCTGGAGGGGGTATTCGGTAGAGCATTGCAAAAGCCAAGAGGCTTGTTTGGGGGTTTTAGAGAACGTCGTTCTACACAAGATTTGCGAGCAAACCTTACATATTTCACACATCCTCCCATGGCAGGGGCAGCGGCTCCGAATTCCTTCTCCACCCCTTACTAGAAGGAATTCGGAGCCGCTGCCCCTGCCATGGGAGGATGATTTCACATCGATCCTCCCTGAATATATCTTTTAAAAATCACAATCCAGAGAATGAAACATTTCATAAAAAAGACGAAAAGGCCGATTCGACTCGTGTACTCCAACTGAAATAAAAGTTTGAGCATTTCTTACCTACAATGAAGGAAGAAAAATGCTATGATCGATTAGGTTTTACGATAAATTCCGGGCATCTACGCATTACGTAGAATGAAAACGGCGAATTGCGCTCTAGGTAAAATGCACCAATTATGCTCTACGTTGAATTAGAGCAGTAATTCGCAATTACGCTCTAATTAAAACGACCGATTACGCTGAACGGAAAATGGCATGCGGAAATTATCACAAATCCAGCAAGCGTAAGTTTCTTAGGAGCCCCCCTCTAATTCAACGTTGAGCGTTATGGGTATATTAATCGTAAAGGGTTATTGGGCGTGTTATTTGTCATCCTAAATTCAGCTTGAAGCGTTATTTAGTAGTTCTCATGATTCATCGTTACGTCTAAACCTTCGTAGTCCAACGTCAAGGTGGCCAAGTTGACTGGCCAACCCCGACTAAACAAATAAAAAATTGTGCTTGGTACGAGTGTGCCTAGTAGAACGTTCCACTCGATGACGGTTCGTTAAAAGTAACTAGCTCTATACGCTTCTGGCTTACATTGGATGAAGTGATGTCCTCTAGTTTTGGTAAGAATGTTGTTTATAGGAAAGATTATCATATTTTTAACTGCTTTGTACATTAGAACACGTCTGGCTTGCTGCCTGCGTTGGTGCAGGGTAGGCCATACAAGTGTTCTCGGGGTATCTGTTATGCCTGTTGTTGATCTGTAGTCACCGGTGACAAACCTAGCGGCGCTCTTCTGAACTTCTTCTACTTTATCTTCAAGTTTGTCAGTGCGCGTGGAGTCGGTTGTGTGGGTCCCAAACAGTGGACACATACTCCAGTTTGGGTCTTACAATAGACATGTATGCTTGGGCTCTGATTTCTCTACTTGCTCTCCCCCCTTAAATTCACCCACAGTGCTGTTGGCTTTGCTATTATGTAGTCAATGTGTGCATTCAGTCCATTTCGAGTTGTATAAGTCTGTTGGTTTCAATGGGCTCTGAAAATGTTGCGTTCAGGTGTTTTAAAACTCTTATAGACATTTGTATGAGACTTGAGTATGTTTATAATTGTTTACATTCTGGTGTTTAGTGGCGGTGCCACAAACTGATCATAAGTGCGCCCCGTGTGGGCTGTTTTAGCGCCAGCTACAAATAACTGAAATATGTCGAGAAGTAGACGTAAATTACAATCACACATTGAAGTATTAAAACCTTTGGTGCAAACTTGTTGCCACTTTAACAATGTGGCATGAAAATGAACCGACTTTCGCTGCCGACTTTAGGCGACTGTTGGGGTTTCTTGTTTTGCACCATTTACTTCGGGCGTCGCACTGTGCCAAAAACAGTACCTTCATTTATCTTAGATGTAAACATGACATGTAAACAAAGTGCCCCCGACGTTTTTATACTTCACTAGGCCTGACCAGCCACCTAAGACATCGACACCCCCAGAACAGCTGAGGTTGAGACGACACGAACCCAGATGCTCGGACCCGAGCTGAGGCCAGACAGACAGACAAACATGACATACTTTAAAGTTCTGCCATCACTTGAGGGTGACAAAGAACCGTTCCACGTGAGGTGATGTGAGTTTGTTCCTATGCTGACACCATACACAACAGGGGTCGAGGCAAACATGCCCAGCCATGCAAGCTCACTGTTTATCAATGCTGCGTCAACAGTATAGTGGTAGGGTGCATTTACCCTTAGGGGTCCTTCCAGGCGTGAGTGTCTCAAACGTTAACCTTACAGCTTGGTCTCAGAGCTGACATCTTGAAAAAGTGAACGGCACCTGTAATGTCAAGCGTTCCACCACGTGCGCACGAGCGGGTAAATGAATAAACAGACATGTACTTCTGACTGAGTTGGATTCTGTCCTCACCTATCCTGTACCAGAGAATGAGTGAATGAAAATGTTGCTTGTTTTGCATTGTAGGCTGGTTCTAATTATCTATTGGTGGAACAAAAAAATAAAGGGACAGGTAGCTTCTTTTGAGGCTATTTCAAACGCTTAAAAGTATAAATGATGACGAAAACGGTGCCGTGAAATGGCAGTAAATGTCAATATCAGACAGATTTCCTCATTCAGGATATTTCTTCTTTTGCCGCCCTGAAATTGCATCCGATGCCTTTGAGGCTTTCAGATACGATATTGAACCGGAGAGAAAGCTTGCCTACAGTATCTGTTTGCACGCACTGTTAAATCTCAACAACTGGGAGAGTTGACAGGGACGATTTGTTGAGAAATGTTTTCTTCACGAATACCTCGTAAAATGATATACGAATAGGCACTTGTCAGATATGTGATACCAATGAAATGAGCCCGTCCCCTTTACACTTGTCCTCTAGTGATGCACATTCCGTAGGTTGTAACGGGTTATCAGTCACAATGCCAGGTATGCATGTGTAAAGTCACACCAGCTGCACTGGCTAAGAGTAAACAAAGACGATTCTCGTGACCACACAGGGAAGTAACCTTCATCTTAACACCGCCCGGTGCTGTTAGTATCCTGAATATCTGGACGTTAACAGTGTGGTTTTTGACACCACAATTGGCATGGAGACCGTCTGGGAAGCCCTGGTGCGCTGTGAGCGCCGCTGGCTGTGGGCGTTCGTTGTGGTCTGCCTTCTCCCAACTGTAACAGGTGAGTGGGTTCTCAAGCCCCTGGCACACATTCTCAGATTTTGCCTCTCGACCATGGTTAGGAGTAGGTCGGCGCAAAGTCGGGGGAAGGTCGGGGCCTTCAGTTTCTTAAACGTAAATCTGTTCTATATAACGACCTAATGCTCCTATATACCTAACTCTATCGAACATAGTACCGCGTAAAAGAGCGCGCCGTTTCCGGTTTGCTCGGTTGTGTTCTGGACGTCGTGGCAGGCGGACGGACGGAAAACACGTCCCACAATCGATCTTTATTGCTTACAGTATTCTAGTATATAACGCCACCAGTAACGTACCAATACCTATTGGCACCAGAACCAAATGTTATGAATAAAGGAGATATTTTTCAAAAGTTTGTCGTCTTACCTTATATCGGTGATCCTAATACATGTGACGTTATCTCCAAAAGCTTCAAAACAAAGCAGGTCATATATCGACCAACTCGACCCTTCTACAAACAATAGAATGGCTCCATGTATCCTGTGTTCACAAGAAAAGTACATGTAAAGTCACACTTGTTTACAAGGCCCTTTCATACTTTGACTACTTACAGCTATGTTCAACCAACTATTACATGTACACATTCCCGCATGTATATTTACCCACCTCGGGGCACAGGATGGCCTCCAGTTGACCTAGGCTAAATTGGAATACAGAAGACGATCCTTTTCGTCCTCTAGGGCGGGGGTTTCTGAAACACTTTTACTACAAGGCAGGCAATAAGATCATTGCCAATGCGACGTCTGAATGATACATTATTGCATGTGGTGGAGCTAGCAGTCTTAATTACAATCAAATCAACTTTATTGCTCAACAACTGTAGCTGGTACAATGTATGGCAAAGAAACAACAATGGTACATACACAAACTAATACTAAGATATAATTCTAACGAGCTAGTCCATAATGATACTAAAGCTAATCTATTGTGTTTTCTTAGGAAGAGTATTATTACATTCTGTAATTCAAGAAATTAACAGATTTCCCTATTTTATAAACACATGCATGTAGTGAAATTTTCAGGATGGGTGGAGGAGGTGTGGGGCAATATACCAAATACACTTATAGGAGGAATCAGCCGTTCTTCCCCAGGGACATACATTTTATAATGACGTACATACTTTACTTTGGTCGAGTTCCCGCTCAAACCAAACTTAAAGCCATCCTCCACTTCACTCTATCCTCCACCAGAGACTGGAATTTACGTCTGATCTGAAGTTGTTACTCCTAGGACTTCTTTAACATTTTGTGGGTTCCCAAGGGACGGATAATTTCCTTTCTCTGTGTGATCTGTTTGAATAAACCCACGTACGACCTGCCTAAATGTTCTTGGGGAGGGAATGTCATATTTCTGATCAAGCCAAGCGGTCCTTGACCAAACACAGCTGTGCTCTCTGGATAACTTTCCATGCTGTGTGTGTGGGGAGAAGACCGAATCATGCCAGGCAGCTGGATGGGTGGCACGTGGGCACGCGGACGGGTGTAAGTTACCTTCTTGATCCAAAAACCACATGGCCGAAGGTTACCTCAAAACCAATTCCCTCTGAGGGAATGCATTTATGGAATCAATAACAAAAACCGCTTCGAGAGGATGCGATCATTGTGACGTCCGATTCATTATGTGCACTAATAGTATACATGGCGGGAGACGCAAGATCAGCCTTGGGGGCGGTAACTTTCAACCACCTGTTACTCAGGAAGGAAACACCAACAACCCAAACTTGGCATAATGCATAGAGGAGAACTTTTTCTACAAAAGACAATACTGTAATTCACTTTTTTGTGCTCACGGTGGCAAAATTTCACGGTGTGAGAAAAATCAAGTTGTTCACGTACTGATATGTTCACGGTGGTGGCAGTGGAATACTCAAAAGAAAGTCGGCGGAGGCGTGAAGCGCCGCAGTCCCCGCGAATCCCCCATATTTGATCGGAACGCATATAATAAAGTCCCAATATTTTCTTTTGTCACGCAAGATCGCAAGCTATGGAATTTTTTTCGCAATTTTTTTCCGTTGGGGGGGGGGGTTGGCTCGTCACTGAATGACATCCAGTAAATTTTTAGCGGGAACCAATCAGAGGGCTGCTGAATAATTTGAATAATTTATCAAGGCCCACGGACGCGGTTCTTTCACTTGTAAAGTAGCCAATTACCACCGAGCCAGTGGCACACGATGGCGAAAACATGTATTTCACACCCATCGTACGTCGACATAAAGCGCTTATACATTACAAACAGAATTTTCGTAGGACTGCCATTACTTTAGTTTGCAGCATGTGTATTGAGAACGAGTATCTTCATAATTCTGCTGGCTGTTTGTAGAAGAACGGCACAATAAAACAGTTTTCAATACCAACACGACTTAGCAGATTACACGTAATGAAGCCCACTTTTTACGCAGATTGTAGCACTACGTAATGTTACACAAAACTAACAGTAGATGTTTTAAGGAATTCACAGAAATGACAATGATAGATAATGTAACGCATATACATTATACAGCACAAAATAAAGAGTAACAGTAATGTAGTCGTCTTTGGCCGGGTATGGCAAGTTATAGTACGGTATCGGTTCAATCTTTAACGGGTAAGTTGACAGCAACAAGCAAGATGCATAGGTTCTATTACTTTTGTAGCTCACTTGCGTCTAGATTTGGGACGAACCCATGTTACTTTTTCGCCGCAGTTTTTCATGTAGTGGTTACTTCGACAGCCTTTCCGCTGACGCAAACATACTAGTTTGAGGTTCCACAGTTCTTACAACGTTAGCGCTTGATCGAAGTGGTGTTTTCCAAGTTTGTTGGTCTGGTGATGTTGTCTTTGTTGGCTTGTTGTCTGTCATTTCCCTCCATTTTTGTATTTGGCGGCCCGTCTTTGGTGGGTTGGGTTTGGTTCACAAATCTCGGCTTCGCTAAGATCCGTTCCTTCCCGTAGTAGTGGTCGCTCCATTAGCGCTAGTGCAGCCACATTTGAATGTGTACAGTCCCGTTTTGATTCGTTCATCAAAGTAGATTTTACTAAGGTATGACTTTACTAACTGATTGTGGAAGTACTAGTACTTAGTACTGATGTAAACAAGAAACAATATACGCGCTCTGGTTGAGTTCATGGCATTTACATGAAACAAGGTGCTAATAGCCGCTAGTCGGTGACGCGTCAGCAGCCCTATGATTGGGCTCCGCTAGAAATCTACTGGATGTCATATAGTGTACACGGGGGGGGGGGGGTTCACTAGAGGAGAAAAACATAAATGTTTGAGTTTGGGGTATAATCTCTCTCTCTTGGCTTGGCTTCGTTGTCCGAAGATTTAAGGGTCCTTCCCTCTCCTACTGCATGCCCGCTGGTGGCTGACAAGTCCGATGCGTGACCGGCATACTCGGCCACACTGGCTGCAGGTAAGTGATGAGTCTGGTGTTGGAGCCGTGACGGTGCGGTTCTTCCTCTTACTGCGTTTCTCTTCGAGGGCAGTTCTGCGTCTCCTCTCGAAGGCAGAGACTGAGTCATGAACTGTATGTCGCCAGGCAGCTCGGTCAGTGGCAAGAGCTGACCACTGACTATGGTCGATGTTGCACGAAGACAGAGATTTCTTTAGACAGTCCTTAAATCTATGAAATAACTAAAAACAGGCCCTTTTTAAAGGTGATGACCTGGGCTGCAGCCCATCGGAACGCAGTTGCATAAAGCTGCGCATTTACACAAACTGAAAAACAGATTCCCAAGCAAAATTAAACAGTCGTAAAACTGATGTAAACAGCGAGCAGGTTAGTTTTGGACTGAGCAGAGCACTTTGTACTAATAAATGATAAAACTGTTCCATAGCGGATCATAATGACCCCTCAGCGGGGATCTTCACGCTTCGTTAAGAATGGAAACATCTCAAAATTTAGTGCAAAGATCTCAATATTTTAGACGAAATCTTGAGGTCTTATGAGACAATCTTGTGATTTTTCATGACAATCTCAAGAACTTTCAGAAAATCTTAAGATAAAAACGAAAGGTCTCAAGATTGAGATATAGATTGTTTAAAATATTAGAAAGTTTAGAAAGCAAATTCAACATTTCTTTCAAGATTACTTTATAGATCTTGAGATGTCTTCAACAATTTTGGTATTTTTAAAGCATCTTGAGATGCTATGGAAAAATCCCAAGATGCTTTGAAAACATCCTGGAAAGATCTTGAGACCTTCAGTTTTCATCTTAAGATTGTCATGAAAAATCTCAAGATTACAGTGTAGTGTTACATGCGATCCAAATGTAACTTGGGACTGCATTGATACCGCAACACCTACAGTGCAGAGTGGTTGTGAACAAAAGAACTTTCCTATTCTAACCCAAGTGTTATTTTGTTCCAGTTGCTCTGGACATAGATGTCATCTTCGCCTGGCCTTCAGCTAACCTGTACTAACTTGGGACTTGTTACAGAAACCTCTAGGTTCAGTGCACAGTGAACTTAACTATTCTAACACAAGTGTAATTTTGTTCCAGTCGCTCTGGACATAGAAGTAATCTCCGCCTGGCCTTCAGCTAACCTGTACTACCTGGAGACCCTGACCCTGACGTGTTACGGCGGAGGGGACCCCGCGCCGACCTACACCTGGACGCTGGACTCGGGCCCGGTACCGGCGCGAGTCGTGGTGGACACGAGCGCCGGCACGCTGACCCTGGCGAACGCCACGGACGCCGACGGCGGGGTGTACACCTGCACGGCCGACAACGGCGTCGGCAACGCCGCCACGCTGAACGTCACCGTGGTGGGCTGTCCTGACGTGAGTATCGTGGGACCACGTTTCGTCTTAGCTTAGGCCCGATTTACACGGCAAAGGGAAAAAGATATATATCATTTGGCCTGCGTCGATTTTCCTGTGGCAGGACGCAGACCAAATTGGTATTTTTGCCCGGTGTAAATCGGCTCTTATCTCCAAGCAGATGTCAGGCGGCAAAGGCGTTACGGCTAGAACTGGCTATCTATTCTTTTGTTGTGACCTGTACTTAACCCAGCGGGTATGTGCGTACAATATGCGTCTACGTTCATTCATTCATTGTTTGGGATATCCCACTGGAAACTTCTTTTAATTCTTAGTTTTTGTTTTCTTCCAACTCCAGACTTCTACCTGCCCAGACAGTAACTCTAACTGCCCCTTCCTGGCGAGCATTGGAGAGTGTGATAACAACCCGGGCTACATGCTCCCTAACTGTCCACTCAGCTGTGGTGTATGCTTCCCAAGTATGTTATTCATATCATACAGCCCATAATAGGAGTGTGTCGAAAGTGGAAAGAACTTTGACTTTACGTTACGTTACGTTATGTATACTTTACGTTACTTGACTAAAACAGCCCGGGCTAGATGATCTCAACTGTCTACTCAGCTGTGATGTATGTGCCTGTCACATGAGTGTGTCGCTATCATGCTGTTGGACAAAAAGTCTCATAGTGGAAAACATCTTTGACTTGACTTAACTTTACGCTACACTAAGTTACGTTACTGTACGTTACGAGGCAAAATGTACTCCTTCGGTGAACCAACTGCCCTTGCATGTTATCTGTGTATTTGGTATTTGGCCAATTTCTACTCTCTCCAGTGCGGCCTCTGAAGATTGGTAGAGTCTAGGTTTCAATGAACATAGGAATATTTTGTTTCTTCAGATCAAGGACGTTATATCTTTATAACATCCTTCTTCAGATTAAACGTGGCAACCAAGTTGCTCATCAGAGTCATGATAAAAAACTTCTTTCCCTAGACAGACATTCTATTTATTACCTTGACGCAGTGCCTAAATGTAAAGGTCCTAGTGCTGTACAGCTCTTCAGTGAGCTAAAATTGGATCAAGATCCCTTTCCTTATCCGTTTTTAACTAGGGTATAGCTAAATCAAAAAAGAAGGAAAAATAGACAGGAGTTTTAACTATTTTCTTTTTTTTAATACCTATTTCAATGGCACGGAGCCTTATACATAGAAAAGGAGACAAAAAGAATGTGTCAAGCTACCCGTTTTCAATTTGTGTAGAACTAAATAAGAAAGGAATGAAAACTAGAGAGGAGAAACAAGAGTTTTAACCTTTTTTACGACATTCTGCATCATTTATAAATCAAATGTTATTTTCCGGATATCTTCCCCTCAGACCTAGGTGCTCATTGCACCAACACCCGCCGTGGTCGCTCCTGGGACACATGGGAATGCTATGACGTCACGACTATCCCGGCTGACGTTCAGAGCGAGCTTAATCTGGACACGTCATTCTACCAGGTTTGCAGCCTTTTGTTTCTACTTGCGTTGTCAAGCCATATACAAATCAAATCAACTTTATTGCTCAACTACTGTAACTGGTACAATGTATGGCAAAAAAGAAATATCAAACCTTAGAGTAGATAAATGAACTTTATTAGGCATGTTTCTAACAGAGCTAATCCATAATAATAATAAAGCTTATCTATTATGTTTATTACATTCTGTAATTCAGGAGATATGTCAGTTATGGTGTCGCATTTGTAGATTCAGATATGTATTTTCCAACGTACATCAAGATCTGAGTGTACGTTGTAATCAATATGTCAAGAGACAAACAAGATCTCAATAAACAAACAAACAAAATCTGAGCAGGGCATGAGAGGAGTATATTGAAGATAACTGGTTTTGAATGGGATAATTTAACATTGGTTTTGGAAGCTATGGATTGAATCAGCTTTTGTTTGTATACATGACCAAATACTGTCAAATAAAAGAGTCCTGTGCAGGTCTCTGGGTGGGTGGGAGTTTTGATACTGCGTTTTGTAGAATTTTTAACGCGTTCTTTTGCCGGCCATCCTACAACCAGCCGCCCAGGGAATGTTTGTATCCTGGATTACCTGAAAAGTAGGCCAAAATGGCCTGAGTTGTAATTACTGGTAAAAAAAATAAACTCGGGGCTACCAAATACATGACTCCGACACTATCTGGGGGTTTCCAATATACATGAGACAAGGGGTGGGAGGGGTCCTGATGTGGGAGACTAAGCCCAACCAAACTCCAATCGTAAGTCTACCCCAGGTAGCCCTGAACAATGATTCCAACTCTAACCCTAACCCTAAATCTAACCCTAACACCAACCCTAACTCTAACTCTAAACACCTGATACCTCACGTATGTGGCAGCTCAGGGATTTGGCTCAACACTAGGACGGAAGTGAACATTGCTTTGGGCAGAGCTAGCTGGTTAAGGGGAAGTTTGTGTGTATGTGTTTCATCTTCAGCAGCCAGGATTGGAATTGGGTGGGCAGAGATTGGTTTTCAGTTGATTGGTTTTCAGTCAATTATAATAATCAAATCCACAACTACCACACTAGACAATCACATCTCCTGCACAGACCCAACTACACTTCAAAAGCAGGACAACGTTCCTTTGCGTACAGGGCAGCAGTAATATACAACTCACTAAAATGTAACGTAAAACAAGCACTCACACTTAAAGCCTTTAAAGACAGACGAAGATCTGAACCCATCTGACACCTGACTATCCAATGACGATCTCGACAACCTTGATTTAACTATGTTTATTGATTTGTTTGATTTTGTTTATATGATTCATCATTCTTATTTTCAATTATTAATACTATTTTGTATCATTCCCTAAGTTACTCGGAATTTGACCTCTGGCCCTCCAAAGACCATCGACCGACTGTTTTGCTTAATTTATGTTGATTTAATTTATGTTATATTATCTTTTCTGTATCCTTGTTTGCATTATATTCTTGTTTATTTATTATGGGCTCTCTTGGAAATCAGCCCCGCGGGGCTGAAGAGACTACCCATACGTTGTTAAGATAAATAAATAAATAAATAAATAGATTGTCAGCGTTGTGATCCTGTACATGTATGTCCTGGATGGTGGAATGTAGTGTAGTGGAAGGAATGTGTACTGTGTAATCGTGGTATGGAAAACAGTCCACAATGTGTACTACGGGAGTAAGTTAGGTCATACATTCTTCCAATACATTCGCATCCACCCAACACACCTCACCGGAAGTCTGAAATATCTAATTTCTTGCTCTCAATATGAAAACCATTTTTAACATTCCTTAGAGGCTTTTACGTAGATTTGTAGATGTAAGTCTGCCAATAGCTATAATTGGAAAGTATGTACTTACTGTCTTTTATGTGTAAATGAAATGTATGTAATATGTCTCTTCGAAAAAACTAAGGGAGATTAGCCACATATGACTGATTTGTATGATAGTTTGATAAAATACTAAAGCTTCACTGTAATATCACTGACAAATCACTAACTTTTTCTACATCCTGTAAACTAGAAATATCTCCAAGCCTACGGCATCCCCATCCTTGGCTCTTCCATCCTACCGGATGACGCCCTCCGGAGGGCGTGTTACGATGTGCTGTTCCTGTTAGCGGACAGAAAGGACGTTCGAGACTCATACTATAACTACTATGGCAGGGCCGCCATCATGGACGATACTGAGGTAAGCTCTCCGTTTTGCAGCCAATGATCCCACCCTTCTTTTGACAGTTTCGTATACTCTTGACAGTTTTATATAGGGAACCCTAACCCTAATTAGACCAAGTATTAACCCTAACCCTAACACTAACCCTTAACTTAACCCTGACCCTAACCTGACCCTAATCAGACCAATTCTTAGCCCTAACCCTTACCCTAACCCTAACCCTTAACTTAACCCTAACCCTAACCTGACCCTAATCAGACCAATTCTTAGCCCTAACCCTTACCCTAACCCTTAACTTAACCCTAACCCTAACCTGACCCTAATCAGACCAATTCTTAGCCCTAACCCTTACCCTAACACTAACCCTTAACTTAACCCTAACCCTAACCTGACCCTAATCAGACCAAGTCTTAACTCTAACGCTAACCCTTTAAGCTTAACCCTAACCCTAACCCTAATCAGACCAATTCTTAACCTAACACTAACCCTTAACTTTATTATTATTGTTATTTACCATTTGCACATATATAAAAAAATTACACAATCAAATAATAGTAGTCAAAGAATATGCGGAGTAGGCCAGAAACCTAGATGGTTTTTTAAAGGGCGTACCCCAAACAGGTAACTTATGACAAAACATATTTGAATTAAACATCAAAATCAAACAATGAAATAATTGATTAATTAAACAAAATCAAGACACAGAAATAATAACTGAAGTGTGTAAACTAACTAAAAAGAAATTAAACAAAAGTCTTATACATGGAATTCAGGTAGCTGTTACAGAGTAAACTGATTAGATAATTAACATAAAAATAAACGATTAAAACAAAAGATTGAAAATGACAAGGAAAACAAATAAATCAGATTGTAGTTGTACTGGGGTTTTGTAAGAAAAAGTTTTAAAGAAGTTTTTTAAACACAGGAATTTACTGGCAGTTTTGTAGCAGTTGGCTTAACTTATTGCAGACGATGGGGCCTCTATACGCTATTGAAAATTGTTTTTGTGTGGATTTAGTCTTGATCGGCCTTAATTGGTTATGTTGTCTCGTATGGTGCTGGTGAATGTCGGAGTTGAATGTAAAAAAACTGTTGAATTGATCTGGTAAACTATTGGTATTATGAACGGTTTTATGGACAAAAATGGCTATTTGTAATTTGTTTATGTCATATACATTTCTAATTTGTAGTTCGCGAAACAGAGATGCTGAGTGTGCTGTCAAGTGTGTATTAGCTGCAATTCTAACAAAGTGTTTTTGTAGTTGATAGAGTGATTTAATTGAAGTTGTGTAAGTGCTCGCCCAACTAATATTGCAATATGATAGATATGGATATATTCTTCGTGGGAGGAGGGTCTTTATTTTTCTAATGATACCTATGTTCTTATGAATCTTATTGCAAATCAAATCTATATGTATCTTCCAATTAAGTTTTTCATCTATTAGTATTCCTAAAAAGCGAGTGTGGTTTACTTGATTGATACGTTTATCATTTATGGACTTTTTCTTTATCATACTTCTTTTTTGGTCCAGTAAAAATAATAAAACTTTTATAATAAGTCTTTTTTTTATATTAACCCTATCTAGACCTGGGGGGGGGGGGGGGGCGGTAAAAGTGCCCCCCCCCCTCAGAACTCGCGAACGGTATGTCGCATGACCACCAAATTTTCAGAGGATGGTGTACTAGTAAAAATTTATCATATCTACAATTTTTACGTCGTTGTGACGTAATATGACGTCATTATGACGTCATAATGTGATTTTATTGGCCAAAACCGCCGTAGATAGGTTCTTCCCTGAAAACTAAACGGTATACGACATAACTTTACCAAGTGTTTATGACAGATTATTAGGGTGTACTTAGTCTTATGTTGCCCATAGCAACACCGGTGACGTCATGAAATGACGTCATTCATACATTAGCTATCCGCCAACTTGGATCATCAATCTTGAAATTTGAAAAATAGTTGTTTTTTTTCAGGATAAAGCCTAAAATACATTGTGAACAGACTAAAGACGTTCATATGAACCTTTTTTGTAAAAAGAAAGGGGAGTATTGATGACATTTTTAAGGAAAATAACCCGTATATACCTGTTCTAATGATATGGTCCGCCATCTTGGATTTTGGCCAATGAAGTCATCAAATTAGCATAAATTATGCATATTTAATGATAAAATTTACATAAAATTATATGAGATGTTATTAATATTAGAAACCATGAGTAACTTGACATAAAACCCATAAAATTCCATTGTTGAAACAAAAAGTACTAAATTTAGCAAAAAATGCCTGTCAGCATTCCATGGCAACACAAAAAATTATTATCTTATTCCAATGATAGAGAATTGTTGCCAACAATATTCTAGGAAAAGTCACCAAGTTTGGCCGTTCTAGCGGTAGCCGTTCAGATGGTAGGTGACATCAAAGTTGGCGCGGGCACTTTTAGCCCCCCCCCCCGGTCTAGGTAGGGTTAAAGGTTTCTGAGAAGAATTGATGTTTCCATTAGAGACGAATTGTTTTCTGTTACTTAAATAATCTTTCAGCCAACACAGGACGGACCCATCAAATCCATTATTTTTTTATGAAGTATTTTTATGAAGTATTATGATCTACCGTATCAAATGCCTTAGATAGGTCTAAGAATATACCAATGGTGTATTCATTCTTTTCAAGGGCTGCTGTGATTTTGTTGATGAGTTGCAAGAGTGCCATATATGTTGAGTGTTTTTTAAAGCCATATTGGTGTGTGTATAAGATGTTATTGATTTCCATGTGACTCACTATCCGTTTATATACGATTTTTTCTAGGATTTTTGAAAAGACTGGTAATAGTGATATCGGGCGATAGTTAGTGGATACGCACGGATCCCCTGCTTTATGTAATGGAATAACCTTAGATAACTTTAACTTAGAGGGAACCTTACCACTTTCCAAAGAAGTCTTGAATACATGTGTTACTGGATTTAAAATTTCTGTAGCGATCTGTTTGAAAAGACTGGCACTGATTTTATCTTGTCCTGGCGCTGCATTTTTTTAAATTGGTGATTATATCGTAAATTTCTGTCGACGTAGGAGCCTCGAAAGAGCTTACAGGGGGATAGGATCTAGAGTCTTGGAGATATGATAAGGGTGATCGGTCAGTTATATCTATTTCTTTCGCCAAGGACGGGCCAATGTTGACAAAGAAATCATTAAGTTTTTCCACTATATCTTTAGGATCAGATATCTCCGAATTTTGTTCATGGAATTTGGTAGGAAGATTATTTGTTCATTTTTTTTCTGTTGAGAATTTTACTAATTACTTTCCAAGTCTTTCTTATATTATTTGATGCCGCTGTGAATGAATTGGTCTTGGTAATATTTCCTCATTGACATACAAATCAGACAATTAAATTTGTTTCTGTACGTTTTATATCTTTGTAATGTTAATGGAGTAGGATTCCTTACATATTTCTTATATAGCCTATTTTTCCTAATAGATGACTTACGCAGCCCTGTTGTAAACCAAGGTTTGTCGATGCCAAGGTGACGCTTTGTTGAGATTGCCGTAAGTGGAAAACATTTGTCAAAATGTAAAGAGAAGATTTTTAGCAAATTTGTGTAGGCAGCGTTTGTATCTGTAACCCTAACCCTTACCTGACCCTAATCAGACCAAGTCTTAACCCTAACCCTTACCCTAACACTAAACCTTTAAACTTAACCCTAAGCCTTTCCCTAACACTAACCCTTAACATAACCCTAACCTAACTAGTTAACCCTTATCAGACCTAACACTAACCCTGCTTAACCCTAACCCAAACCCAACCTATTCTCTAATAATATAACCCTAACCCTAACACATTACCCTAAACCCAAACTGTCACCCTAACCCTAAACAAGTGAGGACCTATCCCAAATCCTTACCCTAACCCTAACCCTTACACTAGGCCTAACACTAACACAACAACTAGGTTGAGTCCTAGCCCGACCCCTTATACCCACCTAGCACCTAGGTTGATTCCTAACCCCAACATTTCTCAATGGTGTTGGTCTGATGAGTTGACTGGTCCAAGATGACAATGGTCCACGTTTGAGTTCACAAGATTCCTGTTTGTCTTTCTTACTTCTTACACCGTTATTACTCAGCCTTGATGACTTTTCCTTACAGGTGACGCTGGATATTCCTGAGCATTCAGACCTTGATTCATCGTTCAACACGCGGGCCAGAGGCCTGGGGGGCACCGTCTCCAGACCCGTGTCCACCGGGGCCGAGGAAAACGTGCTCTGCTTCAGCAATGACTCGTAAGGATGTAGCAATCTCTCTAACCTGGTTACCAGACCTGGTATAGCTCCCAAGTCCTACATCCTCTCTATTTGCAGGGAGGATGTAGGACTCGGGAGCTATAACAGGTCTGGTATTCAGGCTACACTTTCTCGCTGTCAGGGAGCTTGCAGCTTGAGAGTAATCTTCAAGCAGATCTTTCGGTGGCTTCAAAGACAGTTATGATTGTCTTGGCGGTATATACAGCAACTGTGACTTTGCAGCCACTGAAAGATGTGCTTGGAGATTAGCCCAAAAGGAACTATTCCCAGAACTGCCAGTAGCTCAGGATTCTTGATCAGTATGAAAATCAGTCCAATAGGAGTTCAGAATTCTCTGCCATTGCAGCCTAAAACACTACTGTAACAGACAGTTCTCAGTCTGGCAAGAATTGGTTCATATATTAGCACATACATGTATGATAAACCAACAGGATTGACTTACAAATATTAGCCTGGGTGTCCATGCCTTAAAAAACACGCTTAAAAACTGCTGAAAGTTTTGTTGATTCCCTATTCTGGCAATTCTAAAGAACATTCTGCCTGTACAGAATCGTCTTTAACCTGACTTTATGACGACTTTACATGGCTCTTAGTAAACTAACTTTCAACAAGAAGCCATAGGTGACAATCCTCCGTGAAGTTTTATATATTTCAACAAAATCCCAAGCGTCAACGCCAGACCTACTGTGCAGACATTATAATTAGGCAACGGTTAATACAATGAGGGCACGTCACAAGCATAAAACATACAAAGAGCTAAATCCATTACTGCTCCCAGGGCGTGTAAAAATACTGTGCTTCAAGTTCGAAGTTCATTTTAATTACACACACACAATCATTGCATTCACATAAAGATCGGACTATCATGGTCGTGTCTAGTAACAAAGACAGCCCCACCGTCTTACCGTGCCTGTACCTAATTAAGCGCGCCTGGAACAGGCCAAATTCCAGCAACAGTTGCGGTAAGCACCGCGAGTGTTACTACCGCCGGCCAGATAACCAGGATATCTGCTTAGAGTACCTCTGCTACCAGACAACTGCCTAAACCTACAGCCTATTCCACAGGATTGTAAAAGTAGGGATGTTTCTAAAATATGCATTTACTTCAATATCAAAACAGCTACGGTAAAAATAAAAAGACGTGCATCATCCCGGACATAATGCCACACCACATGCGAAATTACACAGAAATGCGACGTACGGAAGAATGCGTTTTGGCTGCGAACATCTTCCAAAAAACTTGGCATCTCTTAAGCATGGGCAAAAACATCTGGAACCACTTATCAAAACCACCCCGTATCTGCATGAAGTTCCACCCCCCACTGCTATTCCAAACAACGCGTTTTTCTGGACCATTCCAACTCGCCTCGTAATTGTAGGGGTGCGTCTGCAATATTACATTGACCGCGAAAGCAGCAACGGCAAAAATACACATTCGTGCATCAACACGGGCATGCCCGCAGGCGGCGTATAAAATTGCGTGCCGATTACACAAAGAGAACCCAGTGTTTTGACTGCGAACATGAAAAATCAGCCGATCACAACACTCCGTCCGGAGGTCCTGACCTCCTTCACGGAGTAATAATACTTTCCACGTTTCAAACAGGTACCGTGTTGAAGACATCTTCATCCACGAGTTTGCCCACGGACTGGACATCCTTGGCGCCCGGAAGGTCATCAGTGATTTCGAAACCCGCCTGCAGGCTGCTTACGACGATGCCCTGTCCAGTGGACTGTGGGCAAACACTTACGCTGACGACACCAGGGACGAATACTGGGCGGAGGGTAGGTATAAGCGCACAAAATACCCTGGGAGCCAGACTGGTATCGGTCAACTCCCATTGGGTTCAACTCGTCCCCGCAGCAGTGATTTAGACAGGCGCACGTAGTGCTTTTGGCTAGTACGATCAACAACCTGGTACTATATCATCTAGCTGTCATTAAAATGCGCAATTCTATCTTGATGAGGTAAAATGCGGTGAAAATGTATTTGGAATCCTTACCTTATTTGACACAGCCTTAATTTCATAGAGGATGTCTAGCCAAGGAGATCAGGTCCAGAATTTGGAGAAAAGATTGTCAGATTTTTCGACAGTTTTATGTCAGAACCCCAAGAAGTGTCGAAATGTAGGATGTTGGAACATGGGGGTGTTATAACACATAATGAAAGGGTATCAGAACATAGAGATGTCAGAACATGAGGTGGCATGGGTGGCAGAATGTGTCGGAATATAGAGGTGTCCAAACATAGGGCTGTCAGAGCATATAAGGGTGTACAAACATATACCATAATGTCATGACGTAGCGTGATACAGAACACAGTATCTTCTCCATTTCTTTATCTACAGGTGTGCAGAGCTTCTTTAACGTGAACCACGAGAGTAATCCGCCCGACGGGATCCACAACCACGTCAACACGCGCACGGAGCTGCAGACGCACGACCCTGACCTCTACGCCATCATAGAGGACGTATTCCCCTGCGGAAACTTCCCGGTCAAGCGCTGTGTCAGGGGTGAGGCAGAGTTTAAAAAAAAGTTTAGCTCTTTGCCACAGTAGTCTCCACCAGGCTTCGGGAGGTGGCTAGAAAGAGTAGAAATTTGTCAAATATAGAGATAACATGATGAGGGAGTTGGTCCGCTAGAAAGTACAGTTTGCCACACACTGTACATTCTTGCGGACCAACTCCCTTGGCATGTTATCCCTCTATTTGACCAATTTCTACTGGTTCCAACCGCCTCCTGACGCCTGGTATAGAGGCTTTTGCCACAGTACAACAGACCACATATGATCCTGACTGTCCTGACTAACAACATACAGGGCTCGTAATAATAGTAATAGTATTAATACTTATAGTTTTTTTGTACAGTCGAGGCATCATCACTAGATTATTTCCAGCTTTAAACAACTCCGCAGTTAGCTGTGCAAAGGTTGAATATAACAGGTAATTTGGTGTAATATACAGTCGTAGCTAGCTGACGCTGTGCTGCGTGTCTGTGAAGCTGGTGTGTTACGCCGAAGGTTGGTTATACCATCTATAAAGCTCCAGAGTGTTGGACAGATTAATTAAGTAATCAAGTAATTTTGTCTCTGAAAGTTTTCAAATCGCGTGTTGCCACACAGACTATGAAAGCTATACACTGAAGATGGACTGCTTCTCTGAGAACTACCAGAGGGCCACTGTGGTGGGGAACGCCGTCTGGGGCGAGACTTCCACAAGCACTGCTGCCTCACAAGGTACGGATAATATACTCTTTCTTGCAGGGAAATTGATACATTAAGGAAACTATGTATTTTACTATACTGCACTGTGAGTAATTTTTTATGAACTGTGCAAAAGAGAAGAGGACCCGGAGAAAAGAACTCTGTAACAGATCTGTGTCAACTTGTGGATGTGCCCTTCATGTATGTGGCACATGTATGTTCATCGATAGCTGCAGGGCCAATAATTAATGAGATGAGAAAAAAGATGAAGAAAATCATTTTGCTATTTTGCTTTGGTTGCAAATGTTGCAATTGGCTTCCTAGTTGAACCTACTTGACAAGGCTTTTCTGTGATAGGTACGACACCGACACCAGCTGTAAGCACACCGACAGTAAGCCAGACGCCTACTGTAAGCACACCGACAGTAAGCCAGACGCCTGCTGTAACCCCACCGACAGTAAGCCAGACGCCTGCTGTAAGCACACCGACAGTAAGCCAGACGCCTGCTGTAAGCACACCGACAGTAAGCCAGGCGCCTGCTGTAAGCACACCGACAGTAAGCCAGACGCCTGCTGTAAGCACACCGACAGTAAGCCAGACGCCTGCTGTAAGCACACCGACAGTAAGCCAGACTCCTGCTGTAACCCCACCGACAGTAAGCCAGACGTCTGCTGTAAGCACACTGACTATAAGCCAGACGCCTGCTGTAAGCACACCGACAGTAAGCCAGACGCCTGCTGTAAGCACACCGACAGTAAGCCAGACGCCTGCTGTAACCCCACCGAGTGTGAGCCGACTGACAACACGTACAGCAAGCACCGCTCCACAGGCCACAGGTTTCAGTCTCGTTTGTTTTTATAGTTTTGAATTCAGCATGGCTACAGTGAGGGTCTGCATGCCTTTTTTTCTGTAAGGCGCAGTTAGCTATTTCGATACATCGTTAATCATAGTTTAGGCCCGCTCTACGTTAAGCGATGTTGGTAAATTATTTGTGAATTGCTTGCTTTAATTCTTCAGGATCTTCCCATGCAGACTCTCCATTCTATAGTACAGCACGTAAGGTATGGTGCGGTAGACCTTCAATTCGCATGGGTGACATTCAGGGAACATCACACACCAAGCAATGTGCTATCCACATGTCAGAATACACATTATTGCATTGGACTACAATATAAATGCACAAAGGTGTAAAGGAGTTGTACACTTTGGGTTTTGCAAACCCTAACCAACCAACCAACCAACCAACAAACAAACAAAGAATCCACCAAACATTAACATACATGTACCTACCATCTACAAGCCAACGGACCAAACATCCAACCAACCAACCAACCGACCAACCAACCAACCCACTAACAAACAAACCAATCATATGCAATGTTTGAAGATCTGCTCTGCTATTTTTGACGGTATATTATAAAATACATGGAGCTCCAGTATATAGAGTACTACACGGTATATTCCATGTCATCTGAGATACCAGCCCAACTGCAGATTGGATCGCCTGACGGCAGAAGGGAGACCCAACCTGTGGGGGGACCGAGGGTAATGCGGAATACACTGTGTTGTATTCTTTATCACTTTATCACACTCACATGTACACACACACACACACACATACACACACACACATGAAACATATAGTCATATACATTACACGTATTTACCTGGTATACATGTATCATATAACAATAACAACATTTTAAAATATTTTATTAATATCATACCCAAGAAGACACAGCTTTCAATGCATAATGAGCCAAAATGTGGTGTCTCTAACCCCAAAGATGCAGCAACATCAATTCCAACATCCGAATCCCGTATTTGGATTTTCAAAAGCGACTCACACAGCAAAAGGTGTTTGGGTGTTCTAATAATGGATTTCTATGGAAGGAACATTTCGAAGCCCGTTTGATAATCAGATGGAACCCCGGACTATACCGGTAGTTATCAAATGGGCTGAAACATCTGTATTGAACGTAATCGTGGCGCAGGTATTGCATAAAAATAACTCTCAAATTAGTTTTGGCGTGTGACATATTTAGACATATCATAAATACTACCGGTAATCATTTCATTGTGAAGACATCAAAATTTATCTAATTCAATAGACCCTACACTATGTGGGCCTGCAGGTGGGTGGGGGAAGTCAAACATGTACTATGGTACAGTCAAACTTGTCCAAGCAGCCACCTCTATGAGTCAGCCATCTGGTCATAACAACCGCTTTTCTCCAGTACTGAAATTTTCTCCGTAGACGATGCCACAGCGACTGGCACTATTGGGAGGCGTACATGGTTCAAAAGTTTATGGGACAACCCAACCGCATCATTTTCAAATGTGACAGAAAACATTTTTTATGATTACAGCTAGCCAGAAATCTTGATGGAATTGACCAGTTTGGAATATCATTGAATTTGACAGCATGTCAGTCTTTGTGCAGTGTAAAATGGGTCATTTTGGGTCAACTGGGCAGTCTATTGTAAACTGGGTGGAAATTTTGCTGAGGTTTTCTTGTTCCCTGTCTTATCTCGTCGCCAAGGTTTTTGTGTAAGGAGCCAATTAGCCTTATACACTAATTTCTTACTTATCAGATGTTTTGCCATACACTATAGGCCAGCTTAGGGGGGGTTGCATTTGGGGTTGGGGCAACCGCCTGCCCACCCCCACCCCCGAAAATCTACAAACTCACACGATTCACTTAATCTACCTACAGGTACCAGCTCTGCAGGTTGGTCTTCTCTCAGCACCTCTACCAACCCCTCACCAGTCTTCAACCCTACCTACACCTCATCCCCCCGCTCCCCCTCGATTTCTCAAGTTAACAAAGGTAAGCAAACTCTGCAGAACTTACACATTCTTTCTATTAACTGTAGAAGTATAAGAGAGAGGAAGAACGCACTATTTAGAGCAACTATTGAGACTGAAAACCCTGATGTTATCTGTGGGAATGAGTCATTCCTAGACCCCGAGGTAGCCAATGGGGAGATCTTCCCAGATGGGTATGACATATACCGAAAGGATAGGAATAGTCAGGGACGGGGTGTGTTTATTAGCCTCTACCAGGCTCCGGAAAGCGGCAAACTGTTCTCTCCAGCAGACCAACACCCCTGTCATGCTATTTATGGGTTCACCACACCACGAAGTGGTGGTGAACCCATATTGCTTTTTCTGATGTTTCTTCTCCTCCTTCTTCTCCTTCTCCTTCTCCTGCCATTTTTTAAATGGATTCAGCTTCTTCATTTTAGGACCCAAGGTCCTGAAATTTGGTATGGAGGTACAGTGGGCAAATACCCCTAGGCGTTTTTTAAATTATTGTGATACAGGCTTTTAGAATGGTTTTATTTGAGTTTTTTGGCTGTGTTATAGGAAATGTATTACTGTGTTAGTGTGCCTTGTTTACCACGTTTGGGCATGAGTCATCACAATGGAATGCAGGGCATCAACCAATAGGCATGCAGCTTTCCTCTATACTTCTTGCTGATTGGCTTTTAGGATTTAACTTGATTAACACCTGCACAGAGCATTTCCACCTGCACAGAGCATTTCTTGCTGATTGGCTGTTGGGATTTAACTTGATTAACACCTGCACAGAGCATTTCCATACTGACAGTATGTCTTTATTCAAGTGTTTTGGTAGGTATTTCAAGCTTTTCTGCTCCAGCATTGGAATGCGGGGCATGAACGTTTTTTTTTTTTTGAAAATCAACAGTTTGCATTATGCAATTAAAAATCCTAACCAATAAAGTAGGGAATAGCTATCCAACTGTTGTTTTAGTTGTATGTTACTTCATATTATAGTTATATCAATGTAAATCATTGTTTTCCCTTGTGTTTCTCATTCTTTCCCTGCCATGTCGTAAAATGTGGTGAACCCATCGCTATATTTGCTCCAAAGCAAATATTGGCCTTTCTAGTTCTATATTTCGATTTCTACTCATTTCAGCCGCTTTCCGAAGCCTGGCAAAGGCTATGTGTTTATAGCTAGCATTGAGATCTGACCCAAATTATGATAACTCTGACGCTGAAGTGGTCTGGGCAACAATACAGCAAGCCGGTTACAGGCCCATATGTATTGGTTCAGCCTATAGGCCACCCAGTTCTGACTTATCTTACATGGACACTCTATATCAAACGATTGAACAGATAACCGCAAAACCATCAGCACCTAATATAGCCTTATTCGGTGACTTTAACCTACCCGACATTAACTGGAATGTAAACCCCGCCCAAGTCAACCCTATACCACAATATGGCATGACAATCAGTCATAAATTTGTTGAAATAACCCAAGATCTAACCCAGTTAGTTCGTGGAACTCTAGTTTATTATAACTGTCTATTTGTGGTGACAAACATTAGTGTAACGATTACATTGAGAAGTGGCAAGTGAGTTTAAAAATAAAATTGTATCCGATCCTGTGTTGCATCAGATCCATGCAGCTACTACACTGTGCTGAATGAGGCATGGAGAAACGTTCAACAAGTGAGCGACAGTACCATGTATAGGTGCGATAACCGGTTTGCCGGAGAGTGGTACCGCTTCATGGAGCCAGCCGGAACTGTCATGCCTACAGAAGCGCCTCCTAGTGGTTACAGATGTGGCGCTGAGGCCCCGATGTGGATGAACGGATCACACCCCAGCATTGCTGACGGTGTAGTCTCCCGCCAGGTGTGTGTCTACACGCACGGTAGCACCTGTTCTCGCCAAATGACCATCCAGGTGCGGGCCTGCAGCGCCGATTACTACGTGTATAAACTACCCAGGGCTACTGGGTGCGCAGTAGTCTATTGCGGGACGTCATTAGGTGAGTGATCCGCATTTTACAAGCCTTGAACCAGGTGTTTATGATCCCAGAAGAATGCTGCAATAACCTGAGTAGGAATTTATGCATATGCATATGATGGCTATTTTTTCAACCTACCAGGTATAATAGTGTACACAATGATGACCCAAAAGATATTAGATTTTTTCATGTTTATTTTCATGTTTATATTACATTTGTATGATTGATCATTTGAACCATACACTACTAAGTGTATTATATGCAAGTTATATTAGAGACCACATCAGCACGTGATTCACCAACGTTTAATAACAAAAACGAAATATACAAAATGAGTACAGACACAGCCTGGGGAGGGTGGCATTGTCAAAGCATCCTTGCACCAAACATGCCACTACATCGTATGTGCTTCATCAACATAGATAAGGCCACACCGTCTTTTAATGATGACATCCTCTGAAGACCCCCAAACTAGTGCGCGCGAGCGAATAAAAAAATAAAAATGCTACTAAACCACAGGAATATAAAGCTGTTATTGAGAATTTCCAGCAGTACATAGCGACGTATACAACAAGCCGGCACATGCTGGCTTTCTGCGGAATTAATGAATCGGCACTGTACGTATGTACTGTGTTCTTGAGTTGTGGAGCTTCGGTAGCCTGGGTGCCATCCTCCAGAGTTACCACCGGCTCCGTATTGTCGCTAACTACCATGGAGTACCAAGGCCTAGAGCCAGGCCAGACGTGATTTTTTTTTTTTTTTGAGAACAGGAGAAAATCAATGCGCGCGTGGATGCCATACATAAAATTAAGGCGGTGTGACCTAACGGTCAATTCGATCATATATTTTATTTTGCAATTTTCTGTGGTACTATATATCTTAACCTTAAATGCATACTCTTGTTTTAGCCGTGGTCTCTGCTGATTTGACGTTAGCTGGTAAAGTTTTTACAGAGGATCTCAAAGACAGGAATCACCCACAGTACCAGAGGCTAGCACAAGTAATAGTATTTGAGGTACAGAAGCATTTTATACATATTATGCTACCCTGACAGTTATCTAGGACGCTTTTTCTT